TTAGGAAGGAAAAAGTAAATTGGATTTCTAAAATCAGATTTGTGTGTGTGTGTTCCAGTTCTAGAATATTTTGTGGTTTTCCAAGATTTTGTGCCATCTCTTAATTGGGTCAGGTTTCTACAGACTCTTAAAGTTTACGAAGTGTTTCACCCACAACAGCCCTATGAAAATGATTGTCCCTGTTATAAAACAGGAATGAGGAAACCAGGGCCCTGAGACATAGATTGAATTGTTTGGTCATACAGCTAAGTCAGGTTTAAAGTTGTGCTTAGAACTCAGATCTCCTTAGAAGGGAGGGCAGATTAAGAGAAGGGGTACTCAGAATGCATGCCATCTTGGGATGGGGGGAAGGACAAGATGGGGAGAAAATTTGGAACTCAAAATCTTGTGGAAGTGAATATTGAAAACTAAAAATAAATAAATTAATTTAATAAAAAAAAAAAAGAACTCAGATCTCCTAATATTATACTTTATGCTTTGCTACAGTTGTGTATGCAAATTAAAAATAAAATAATTAAATTGATCAAGCTATATAATAGTCTTACAACTCTTCACATTAAAAAAAAGCCTCTCATATGCAATATATCCTCCTTTGGGCCACTTGTTTTCAGGATTTGACATTGCATTTGCAAGATCTTGACAAAACAACACTTTTGTCACGTTGGGCACTATGTATGCCTGTGATAATCTGTTTTCCAGTGTCTAACCTTGATAGCCCATAGGCTTTTCACAGCATTGAAGAACATTTATCTCCATTTCTTAGATAAAATTTTTAAGCCTTTATGACTTGCAGCATATTGCATGTTTGTGTTGCAAAAGCCTATCTCTATTTCAGAATTTCTTATAATTCTGAAACAATTCCCCAATATATTTGTCAGTTCATCATTTTCTCAAAAGGAACAAGTCTTTTAGTTCCACTAAGAATATGACTCACAACCTTCTTCTGAGTACAAGTTTTATAGCCTGATGAAAACATGCCTAGCTCTTATGAGCTTCCTTGGACTTTCTCAGACAGTAGTTTTGGAATAGCTTTGAATTTAAAAAAGTGAAAATTGCCTGGTCCTAACTTCCCACTCTGGGACAGAGTAGGTGCTTAGTAAATGCTTGTTGGTTGGTTGATTCAGTACTCTAGTCTTTCATGAGAACAAAAGGCAAAAAACAATGATCTTACTGTTATTCTAACTTCGAGATTCCTATGTAGCACTGTTAAGGAATCAATTACTCAGTCAACAGCCAGCTGTCAATTCCCTTTGCTTGTTTTTTTCAGCATTTAGTTGGGCTGTTTCACAGTTAGTAGTCAATCGCTTCTTATATCTACATTACTGATTCTGTTTCCCTGTGGGCTTGAATAATGCTTGAAATTCTTGACTCTTCCACATCAACAGCCGCTGCAAGATCCCCAGCCATTATTGGACTGCGCTCGTGAAGTTCTACAGTCTTTGCATGCTTTTTGGAGTGTTATTCATTCTCTGAAAACACAACAAAAGAGAACAATAACACCCCTATGTGTAGCACAAAATCAAATACTCATCTGGCCAGGAGCTAGCAAAAGGTGGGGAAACCAGCTTAATCCAATTTCACCTGGGCAAGGTCAGATACTCTGAGTCATCCTAGGGCTAGGAGAAGGTACAAACAGAACAGATGCTGTCATAAAATAATACCATATCAAAATTATTGCTTGTCACAAGTATTTTGCACAACGTTGTTTTTAGGAGGAGGAATAAAACCATCTAGACTATGCCCTTTGCCTACTTTCAATGTATCAACTTTAATCAAGAATCTAAAAACATAGTTATTTCTTTTGTCTTCCATGGGGGTGATAAGCAGGCAAAAGTTGTGGGGGTTGTTATATATTCTCTCTTCATTGATTAGATTACAAATTTGGTGTACTGATAGTATTTCAGAGTTAGAAGCAGCATTAGAGATTATCTACTCCAACTCTGATTGTATCAGTGGAAAAACTGAGAGTCAGAGAGTATGGAAGTAACTTGCCCACGGTCATATAGAAACAGCTAGCACTAGACTCCAGGTGTCCTGATTCTTGTGGTTATTTTTTCCACTATACTAACATGTACTGAGAATATCAACAACATGCCAGATGTTAGGTAATTTGTAATAAAGAACAGTTGTCAACATGAGTTTCACATTAAACTTATTGGTTCTTGTAGACACAGAGGTGGTCAAATCTGACGGAACAGTTTGTCAACTACTCATGTAATGATGTTCAGTGACATTGAAGGTTCTTTTTTGGAATGATCTTGTGATTTCATCTGTGTAGGTAACTCCTAGTTACTCAATCAACAGGCATTTATTAAGCATTTAATATGTTCCAGAACTATTCTAAGTGTTAGGAATACAAAGGTAAAAACATAGTTCCTCTATGACCAAAGGGCTATAAGACTATGTATACTCTTTGATCCAGCTATACACTACTAGGTCTGTTTCCCAAAGAGATGATAAAAATTGGAAAAAGACCCACATGTACAAAAATATTTATAGCAGCTCTTTCTGTGGTGGCAAAGAATTGGAGATTGAGGAAATGCCCATCAGTTGGAGAATGTCTGAACAAGTTGTGGTATGTGATTGTAATGGAATACTATTGTGCTATAAGAAATGATGAGTAAGTGGATTTCAGAAAAACCTGGACTTAGATGAACTGCTACTGAGTGAAGCGAGCAGAACCAAAACATAATACACAGTAATAGCAACACTGTGTATATCAGCTATGATGGACCGATCCAAGACAATTCCAAAAGACTTAGAATGGAAAATGCTATTCACATCTAGAGAAAGAACTGCAGAGTCTGAATGTAGATGGAAGCATACTATTTTCTCTCTCTCTCTTTTTTCTTTCTCGTGGTTTTCCCCTTTTGTTGCAATTCTCCTTTCACAACATGACTAATGTGGAAATATATTTACTATGATTGTACATGTATAACCTATGTCAGATTGCTTGCTGTCTTGATGAGAGGGAAGGGGAGCAGGGAGGAAGGGAGAAAAATTTGGAACTCAAAATCCTATAAAGTTGAATGTTGAAAAACTATCTTTACATGTAATTGAAAAAAAATAAAATGCTATTAAGTGGGGGGCAAAAACAAAAACACGATCCCTGCTCCCAAGGAGCTCACATTCTGATAAGGGAGACACAATAATGTGTATACAAGATAAATGTAATGGAAATGGAAGATGATCTCAGAAGAAAACCACTGGGTGGTGGTAGTTGAGATAGGAGTGGAGAGAAGATATCAAGAAAGGCCTCCTGCAGAAGATGGGATTTGAGCTGAGTTGTGAGGGGAGCTGGGGATGCTAGGAGGAGGCCGTGAGAGAACATTCTCGATGGGAGAGATAACCAGTGCAAACTCGAGTAGGGGTGTGTGTAAGGAATACATCGTAGAGAGAATACATGGGGGAGACTAAAGTGTGACAAGACTGGAAAGCTAGGAAGAAGCCAGATTGGGAAAGGCTTTCAATCCATCCTCTACTCAACTGCTGCTTTGGCAGTTGAGTTAAAGATAGATTGGAGTGGGAAGAGACGTGGTGCAAAGAAAATCAAGTTAAGAACTCCTGTCTTAGGCAACTGCCTGAAGTACTGAGAAGTTAAGTGATTCGGCAGGGTCCTAGAGCCAATATGGATGTCAGAGGCAGTACTTGAACCCAGATATTGCTGCTCTCTATCCAGTATGCTTTCATGCTGTCTGGTGGTTAATTAGTCATCCCAGCAGAGGAATTTTGATAACTTTAGTAACTAGTAGTACAAACTATGCCATCTTAAACAACTTTATTAAGTTTTCGTGCTTGGAATTTTTTTTAAAGAAGGAGTTGAGCAGATGGAATGATAAGGTCACTAATAGATAATCTAGATTAAAGGCTGCCTGCCTTTAACTGAGACAACTTCTAGAAACTTTGTGGTTTTCCTTTCTTCACCCCCCAACTTCTTTTTTCTTTTCTTTTTCATCCTCTTCTAATTCTTTCTTCTCTGTACTCCTTCCTCTGCTTCTCCACTGTACTTATGACCGATACCTGGCTAATTAAATCGAGAAACTAGAAAGCCACAAGTTTGCTATGTGTGAAGTTTAAAAATTGTCTCTCCTGAAGGGGTATCAACATTTGTCCTCCAGATTTTATTCTTATCTAATGTAGATCAAATCCTAAAAATAAAATTGTTGAAAAGAGAGGATTTTACATGATAAAAATTTCAAAATTTGACACTTTTTGAAAGTGTCTAGAGTTTGGTATTTTTACACCGAAACTGAAATTAAACTCTTGCAAAAGTTGTATTTGTATCATTGTGTTAGCAAATCTGGTATTAAATGATATGTAGTCTGTAGGTTCTCTTGCTATTGTGGCATTCTATTCATTCTAAGAAATTTGTACAAAGTGATAATTGAAGGAATAGGAACTATATAACTGCATACCGCTTCTTTGGGGCTGTGAATTTGGGAAAACTGAGTTCCTGAAAGTGTTATCCCTTCCTATGGTTGTTCTTTCCTAGAATGTATGAATGAGGAACTTAGAGGATAACCTGATAGTGAAAAGAGTCTAGTGTCTGGTAGTTCAGATGGTCTGGGTACTAGTCTCAGCTCTGCCATTAGCTACTCTTTGGCTTTGTGCATGCCACTCAGTCTCTCAGGACTCAATTTCTCCTTTTGAGAGGCTTGTACTAGGGTCTTTTTCAACTCTAATGCTATATGATCTGGATCTGATTTCAAGTGACCCTCTCCCTCTGTGTCTTTACCAGCTTGAGGTATACTAGTTTATATAAGATGTATCAATGAAGAGATGTTTATATGACTTAAAGCAAAATCTTGTATTTAGCATCTGTGCCTTGCTGATAATAGGTATATAACATGAACCATAAACACCTAGAAACTCAGGAATTGGGGCTGGGTGCTTAGATTTTATTTGAGGTTTGACCATTAGCAGTAGTAACAACAACGGTAGCATATTTTACTCAAAACTTTTTTGTTAAATATACCTTTTTTTTCACTTTGTGTTAACAGGTACATCATGACAACAGAGAAGGGCTTAGTGGCTGAGGCCGAGAATCCACAACACCAACAGCAGAAAGAAGAAGGTGAAGGAACCACCAGAACAGGAACACAACAGGCTCAGCTGGAGGAATCATCGCAGAAGGCAGCCGAGGGGATTAATCATTACGAACAGAAGCAGAAGGCTTCCAATGGGGATACCCCTTCACACGAGGACTTGAGTAAGAACAAAGAGCGGACATCAGAAAGCCGAGGCCTGTCCCGTCTGTTCTCCTCTTTTCTCAAGAGGCCTAAGTCTCAAGTCTCCGAAGATGAAGGCAAAGAAATAGAATTAGCTAAGGATAAAAGAGAGGGAGGTCAGAGAGAAACAGAGTTTGGAGCTTGTCTTGATGAAGAGATCCTTTTAAAGGCCCCCATAGCTGCCCCTGAACCTGAACTTAAAACAGACCCATCTTTGGACCTTCATTCTTTAAGCAGCGCAGAAACACAGGTAACAAATGGGGAAAGAGTTAGGGAGAATGAAGATAACTGATATGTTTGACTTTCATTGTCTGGAAGCATCTTGTTTGGCTTCTTAATTAACTTAATAATCATAGCTGATGTTTTTATAGTGCTTTAAATTTTCAAAGCCCTTTACCTTCATTAGCTCTTTTGGATCCTCACAAGAAGTAGAATAAGCCAAGGTGGAGGAGGTATTACCCTTTAGTAATAGCCTCATCTCACAGATGAGGAAACTGAGGTACAGAGAAGTAGAGGGACTTACCACGATCACTGAGATAGTCTGATTCAAATTCATTTTTTTCCTAATTCTAAGTCTAGCATTTTTTACTGGCTACTTTTTAGCCAGATAACCCCGACACTCTCAACTGAGTAGTCAGGTATTTGAGGTTTTATTTTGTAGAAGTTAGGTATAACATAATTTGATGGAAACTCGATAACATCAGGAAATATTTTTTCTCAAATTTTTATTAAGCTTTAACTATTGCTATAAAATGCTTTTTCAGAGATAATGAAGCCAAACCTAGGTCTTGAAGTGAGAGGAAAAAGGTGGGATGGTCTAGAATTTGTATTATTTGAAGATTATGGAAATGGAATGGTTACCAGCAAATATAGTCCTTTCAGGAAAACCTACTTAAAGATATTAGAATAGTTTCATGCTTTTCTAAAAAGGGATGAAATGCCTTTATTTTTCATTCTTTCTTCTCATTTGGAATATAAGCCAATAATACATTATCGTGGAGAATCCACGTTTTCCTCCCCTGTATAAATTGTTTCCTACTCTCATTTTTTATAACATAGGACCCTCGTTGATATCCTAGCATGAAGTTACCTCAGTGAGTATGTTTTTGCTCATTTGCTCAATAAAATGTGGATAGTCCTGATTATATTCTGGAAATTGCACTTGAGTTTTTCAGTCTTGATTTCTTTTGTTCTAATTCTCCATCTTCTAATTCTTTATATGTAAATTGGAAGTTACTTTCTGAAAAATTCCCCCTTCAGGATGTGAGAATGTTGTTTATGTCACCTTGAGAGCCTGCATGTTTCTATGTGTTGTGCTCACTAAACCCTAATGGTACATTTTGTTTTTTAATCACTTTTATTTTAGACTATTTCCATGTCCTTCATGCGTGTCCCCCAACCAATAGACAGTCCCTTCATGGCATTTGTTAAGGGCTTTCCATATGCCAGCAGTGTGCTATGGCTATAGAGACCAAAGAAACAGACTCTTTCCTCAGGAAGCTTACATCCTTTTGAGGGGATACAACATGAACATTGATAAGTAAAGCAAATTACATATAAAGTATATTTAAAAATATGAACCAGTTGGGGGGATGCTGTTATCAAGAAAATGTATCATAAGCTATAAAACTATATAAAAGGGAGCTGTTACTAATGTAGGGCCAACCAAAATCCAATTTTCTTCATTTTCAGTTTCTATTGTGTCAAAAGAAAATAATAATATGGTTTAGTGGAAAATTCTTCATCATATGTTATGTTCAAATGCAGGGATCCTAAAATGTTGTCCTGGCTGTATGTAGGTAAACTCATATAGAAAAACTTGGAAATAGCTTACTGCTTTTCCCAGGAGACCTATATTTTAGTTGAAATCCTGTTCTTTGACACTTGATTGTAGGTAGTATACTTGGTGGGAAGGAAAGAGCTATTTGATAGCTAACCCATAGATAAGTAGTTTTGACAACTCTATGGATATTGATTTATGCCATAAAACAATTGTTATCTATCTTTTACGAGGGTTAGTGATTTGGGAAATTTAGAACATGCTAAATCACTTAAGAATTCCTTAATTCCTAATGCTAACAATCAGGATAGCTGCTAAAATGGAAAGATATGGTTAGGCCCTGGAAATGGAGCAAAGTGCTAGTGGAGAGAGAAGAATTTGACAGCTTTAGATAGGGAAATTCAATTGGATTTAGTCTGTGTCAAATGCCTCCTGTGTGTAAATCACTGTGTGTAAATTAGGCACTTGGAGGATATAATTTGTTTAAGGATAAGTAAGTAGAAGGTAAGGAGATGGGCAAGGGAGAGACCAAAGTACTCTCGGGAAATTTGATGAGAGAGAACACATATTTTGGGAGAATGGATGAATGAATGAAAAAGCGCTTATTAAACACTTAATGTATGCTAGCACTTAACTGTGTACTAGCACTGTGCTGAGAAAAACAGAAAAATCAGACGGCCCCTGCTCTCCAGAAACTCACATATAGAACGTTTCACCTGCAAGTCAGATGGAAAAGTGCCATGATCCATAGGGTGCAGTGGCAAAGCCAATGATACATAATACTGTAATTTACACTGATAATATCATATGAGGGGCAGGTGGATGGTACAGTGGATAGAACACTGGACCTGGAGTCAGGAAGACTTGAATTCAAATCTTGCCTCAGACACTTACTAGCTGTATGAGCCTAGGCACTTCACCTCTGTCTGCCTTAGTTTCCTGAACTGTAAAATGGAAATAATAATAGCACCTACCCCCCCCAAGGGTTGTGAGGATCAAATGAGATAATAATTATAAAGCATTTAGCACAGTGCCTGGTGCTTTGTAGACACTTAAACGATTATTTCTTTGTTTCCGTCATTCCTTCATATCAGTTTCTGAAATTGAACCATTTGATAGTACTGAGGACCTTACTTGCAAGAATTTTCTTTCCTGGGTCTTTTGTAGCTATGCCAGTAGCACCTGCAGAGGCAGCTGCCAGGCTGCATCTCTTCCAAAATTGCTTCCCAGGATCATGGCTTCAAGGGCTGGGCTGGAATCAGGACCTGTGATTGTGAGGGGTGCTCTCCCTGCTGAGGTTCTTGGTCTTATCTCTGCCTTGGTGGCCTTTGGCTAACAATTGGTGTTGGTGAGGGTGAGGAAGGTGCCCCCCCTCAGTGATTTCTCCTTTTGATGGTGATTAGGGGGCAGGCTGGAAACAGGAAGAGGTGATATTGCTTAGTGAGGTGCTATATCTTGTGAACCATGCATTCCATGGCAAACTTTCATGGGCTGCTTTAAAAGACAGGGCTCTCTGCCTGAGGCATTTGGAATACTGGTTTCTATAGGCTTTCACTGACTAGGATCTGATATCTTTTACAGAAACCTTATGTGCATTTTATGTTCATTACGTAGATCCTTATATAGGTATGTGTTAATCTCTCTTCCCCGTTAGAATGTGAGCCCTTCCAAGGTCTGATATCTTTTACAGAAACCTTATGTGCATTTTATGTTCATTACGTAGATCCTTATATAGGTATGTGTTAATCTCTCTTCCCCGTTAGAATGTGAGCCCTTCCAAAGCTAGGACTACTTCCCTCTTGTCGTTGTCTTTGTCTTGCAGTACCTGGGACAGAGCCAGTGCTGGCTTCATAATCGCAGATGGATGGATTGTTTTAGCCTGAATGTTATAGTCTTGTATCTTGTTGCAGTTGTCTCTCCTGCTTTCTTTATAGCATTGTTCTTATTAATAGTACAATGTATTTTATGAATGGTCTTGATTTTTGACTTGGTTATGTTGTGGTTCTACAGCCTGCCCAGGAAGAACATGGAGAAGATCTAGAGTTTGAAACTAAGGAAGGAGAAGAACTTGAAGAAGGCTCCAACACAGATGTGAAAAAAGAAAGCTTGGAACCAAAAACTGAGAAAGAGCTTGGGTCTTCCCAGAAAGCTGTCAGAAGACACAGAAACATGCACTGCAAGGTGTCCTTGCTGGATGACACAGTTTATGAATGTGTTGTGGAGGTGGGTGCATGTCTTTTCTTTTCCTTTTTTTCCCCAGTTCTTGTTACTGTGGACCAGAAATCCTGCGATGCTATAGGGTTAAGTAGACAACCTCCACTCAAAGATAAGATCCTGTCTAATGAGTATTACCAAAGCAATTTTTCTTTCTAGATCACCTTCCTGGTACCTATGTATTTGTGGTACATGTTCAGGTTTCCGATGGTTGTAGGGGCAGCTGAGTGACTTGTATAAAATTAGACTTTGAAATGAAGGGATTAGATATCAAGGTGACTGGATTGTGCAATCCAGAGGAAACATCTTTTAAAATTGGACCCAGTTTTGTTTCAAAATGTCCCTTACTTGTACCCTTTGGTAATAGGTTGGTGTCCCTTGCTATAAAACATCAAAGCCCATGTGCAAGGAAGTAGGAATTCCACACAGATTAGTTCTCTTTTCAGAAAATCATGTGTCACCAAATTGGGCACTTAAAAACAACTTGGAGAACATCTAGTCCACTCCTCTCATTTTACAGATAAGGTCATTCTATACTCAGAGGGAATGAAGTGAAGTCACCTCATTAGTGACAGAGCCAGGTTTCCACTTCAGCTCTTTAGACTCCTGTGTTTCTCTGCTGCAGTGTGGCTGCTTACAATGTGTAATTATGGTTGAATTAAAATCTTCCTTTATCTTCATCTTCCTTTTACATAGTGTGCTTTTTGTCTTCTATTCTTGTGTAATTTGCATTCAGTTGTTCCTCTGAGTCTAAACTGTTTTCCTGCTGACTTAAATGATATAGTAAACATTCCTGGATGAGTCTTTTCTGATAAAATAGCATGCAGTTATCAAGGTCATAGAGGTTAGTCATGATGTATAAACATTTTAAAATATTTACTTCTCTTTTCTCATTGCATCCTGGCATTTATTGATTCTGTTATACTTTGCCTTCTCTCCATCCAGTACCCAAACCCTCTTTAAGATTTTGTTTTGCTTCTAATGCCTCCCTTAATTTACCCTACCTCTTATTTCCCCCTTTTTCCTTAACCCCTTTCTCTACTATTCCTGTTGAATAAGCTATATTTCTGCATCCAGTTGTGTGTATATGTATATTCTTCCCTCCTGTGACCAGTTCAGATAAGAGTGAGGTTCAAAGGGCAGCTAGACGGCCCAGTGGATAGAACACTGGCCCTGGATTTAGGAGGACCTGAGTTCAAATCTGGCCTCAGACATATAACACTTACTAGCTGTGTGACCTTGGGCAAGTCACTTAACCCCATTGCCTAGCCAAAAAAAAAAAAGAGTGAAGTTTAGGTGTCACCCATTCCCCTCCTTGTATAAAATTCTCCTTGTGAGCCTTCTATATAAGACATTTTCCCCATTCTTCCTCTCTCTTTCCCCTTCTCCCAGTGTATTCCTCTTCCCCATCCTTTTCATTCTTCTTTTGAGTTCATCCAAACGTAACAGAATCACTCCCAGACCTTCTATCTAATTAGGCTGTCTGTATGACCCTTGATAATGATAGCGTTCTGAGGGCTACATGTATTATCTCCCTATATAAAAATATAAACAGTTTAACTTTGTTTAGTCTCTTCCGATTACTTGCTCATGTTTATCTTTTTATGCTTCTCTTGACTCCTGTGTTTGTAATGTTAAAATTTCTGCTCAGCCCTGGGCTTTTCATCAGGAATGCTTGGGAGTCCTATTTTATTAAAAGTTTATTTTGGGGGCAGCTAGGTGGCACAGTGGATAGAGCACCGGCCCTGAAGTCAGGAGTACCTGAGTTCAAATCCGACCTTGGACCAAACACTTGACACTTGCTATTTGTGTGACCCTGAGCAAGTCACTTAACCTCAATTGCCTAAAAAGAAAAAAAAACCCTAAAAACAAAAACAAAAGTTTATTTTTTTCTTTTGTAGGATTATACTAAGTTTTTGGTGATTAGATTATTTTCGGTTGTAAGTCTAGATCCTTTGCCTTCTGGAATATCATATTCCAAGCTCTCTGTTTCTTTTAGTGGTGGCTCCTAAATCTTGTGTGATCCTGCCTGTGGCTCCTTGGTACTCGAGTTATTTAATTCTGGCTGCTTCCAGTATTTTTCCCCTTAATCTGAGTTCTCTAGATTTTGGTTATGCTAATCCTGGGAGTTTTCACTTTGGGATTTATTTCAGGAAATGATAGAGTCTTTCAAATTCAACTTTGCCTATTGCTTCTAAGATGACCAGAGAGTTTTCTTTTCTTATTTCTTGAAATATAATGTCTAGGTTCTTTATTTTGGTGGAGGGGTTTTAGGTGGTTTAGTGATTCTTAAACTGTTTCCCCTTAATCTATTTTCCTGGTCAATTATTTATCTTGTGAAATCTTTCCAATTTTCTTTTTTTTTTCCAGTCTTTTGGCTTTGTTTTTATTATTTCTTGATGTCTCATGTAGTCATTAGCTTGCATTTGGCCACTTCTGATTTTCAAGGAATTATTTTATTTGGTGAGGTTTTGTATCTCTTTTTTCCAAGATGTTAATTTGCTATTCATTTCTTTCTTTGATCTCTTTGGGATATAGACATTTTATTGTACTTCCCTTCACTCATTTTCCATCCAAACTGGCCTACTAGCTGTTCCTTGAATTTGATATTCCATTTCATTTCTTACCTTTCAGACTCCTAAGCTTCCTTGAGTACTCAGTTCCAGCACCAATCCTATATAAAAATAACAACAACAACAACAAAACTTTCCTGATCTCAGTTATTAGTGCACTCCTGAAATTACCTTGTAATTATTTTATCTCTGTACATGTTATATCCTTTGGGTCAACTGTAAGCTCCTGGAAAAGAGACTATTTATTTGTTTCTGTTTTTATATTGGGTGCCTGCCCTTTTTGTAGTAGGGGCTTAATAAATATTAAATCGAGTTGACTGCAATAAATGCAGGCTTCAGTGGTTCCCTTCCTCCACGTGGTACTCTCTTCTCCCTTCTCCTCTCTCCTTCCTTCTTCCCACCCTCCCACTCCCCGCCCATCTTACACACAGTGGTTGAGAGAGTGCTGGGAAGAACAGTAATAAAAACTAATATTATCTCATTCAAATCTCACAACAACACTGTGAAGTAGGTGTTATTAGCATCTCTGTTTTACAGGCTGAGAGACTTTTAAGTGACTTGTTTAGAGTCACACAGCCAAATCTTTTGGTCACAAATCAAATCTTTTTTGAACATCTGTGTTTAGGGGCCCTATGCTAGGAGATAAATGATAATAACTAAATATTTATGGCATTTTAAGGTTTATCAGGAGTTTTTCTTACAGGGTTACTATGAGGCACAAAGAGACCAAGACTTATCTCTGACCTCAAGGAATCCACTGTCTAGCAGACAAAATATGTAGCAGAGTATTTCATTATATATATATTCACATATTCACAAATTATCACACAATAGTACCTTCTATTTATCTGGGATGTGTATGTGTATTGTTAACAAGAAAATCCAACTTAAAAATCAGGAAAATTGATTTCATTTCTTTTCTCTGTGACCTTCTCCCCTTCCCCAGAAACTGTAATTGCTGCTGCCAAATCTGGTAACCATGAGAAACTAAAGGGCAATGTGCTGTTTTCCATTGTTTGGGAGTAGAGGGACTGGCCAGAGCTACTTAAAACTCACTCTTCTATTATGTCAGCCTGGGACCTAGATACAATGAAGTAATCAGTTCGCTTTTATTAAGCACTTGACTATGTCCAAGCCCCTGTGCTAAGGGCTGGAAATACAAAAAAAAAATGAAAAAACTACAACAGAAAACATAAACCAGTCCCTGCTCTCAAAGGAGTTCATGGTCAAATAGGGGAGATAACAAGCAAACATATAGAGGGATAAATTGAGGGTGGTCTTAGAGGAAAGGCTCTAAGATTAAGGTGGACTGGGAAAGGCTTCTTACAGAAGGTGGGCCTTTAGCTCAGACTTGAGGTAAGCTGGGTAGGCCAGGAGGCCGCGATGAGAAGGGAAGGGGTCTCAAGCATAGGGGAACAGTCAGTGAAAATGCTCGGAGCTGGGAGAGAGAGTGTCAGGTATGAGGAACTGCAGGTAGTTCGGCGTCAGTGGATCAAAGAGTGTATGGAGGAGGTGAGGCATAAGGAGATAGGAAATGTAGGAAGGCAGCAGGCTATGAAGGGCTTATGTATTTGACATTGGAGGTAATAGGCAGCGACTGGTATTGATTGAATTGGGCTGGAGTGGGGGAGGTGCTATGGTGTGCTTTAGAAAGATCACTTTGACAACTTAATGGAGGATAGATTGGAGTGGGGAGAGACTTGAAGCGGGAAATCCAACCAGCAGGCTATTGTTAGAGTCCAGGCATGAGGATAATGAGGGCTTGTACCAGGATTGCCAGCCTAGGTGACTAGAATGACGTCGGTGCCCTTGACGATAATCAGGAAGCTGTAAAGAGGGGACGGCTGAGGGGAGAAAGGATAACGAGCTCAGTTTTGGATATGTTGAGTTTAAGATGTCTATGGGACATCTGTCCACTAGGCAGCTGGAGATGTGAGACTGGAGGTTTGCAGAGAGGTCAGGGCTGGACTGGTAGCTCTGAGAGACATCTTCATAGAGATAGTAACTGAAGTAATTGAAGCTGAAGAAATCACAAAGTAAATAATACAGAGGGCCCAAAACAGAGCTGTGGAGGACACTCATGGTTAGCATGTGTGATGTGGATGAAGATCTAGCAAAGGAGACAAAGAGGATACAACCAGAAAGGCAAGGGGAGAAACAGGAGACAGCAGCGTCACAAAGACCTGATATTGTTACAGGCCGCAGAGAGGGCAAAGAGGATGAGCAAAGGCCATTAGATCGGGCAGTTAAGAGATAGATCATTGGTAACTTTGGAGAGAGAAGTTTTCATTGAGCACTGAGGTTGGAAGGCAGGAGAGTGAGTAGAAAGGGCATGGAGGGATCAACTATAGATGACCTTCCCAAGGTTGAAATTCTCAAGAATGAAATTACTTGCTTTCATGGGCACTCTGTCTCCCGTGTAGATAACCTAGAGGT